TATTTAAAGACAAGCAAAAGTAAGATTTGAAAGACTGATTTTGTCCACAGCCAAACCTGTCCACAGGTTAAAAAATGGGCTCGAGCGATGTCTTAGTAACCACAAACTGACCACAGATTCTTAGTTTGTGAGTGAAACCGAGGCCGAAACACACAGCGAGCATTTTATCACATTACAGGTTAGCGTGACAGAGCACGGTTAGATGCAGCAGGCGTGTAGCTTACCTACAGCGCCGAATCCTGCACAAATGGAAAGGGGCGTGTCTTAATGTTGCATTCGAGCTTTAGGCTGAACTTTAAACCTTACACACAACACGTTCTCTCACCGATTTCCACTCTGTGCGGCGCCACTCTCGCGACAGCCGGGGAGCCCGGCTCGCCTCTCGCTTTATTCTCATTCAGGGCGGCGCTCGCCGCTATTCCGAGACACGGGCTGTTGGTGTCCCGGCCCGCGCTCAGCCTTCGGCCTGTCGCGGCGTTGATTTCGGAGGGCATCGGCAGGCTGATCTCGCTCTTGGAGAAGTGGCGTTCCGGCGTGGTTCCGCCCTCTCCGTCTGTCTGGATGTCCTTCTCGCTAACAGACTTCTTTTGCAGCAGGTTGCTGATCTCCATGATGTTTCCGATGATCTCCACGGGGCCTGTCAGCGTCTTCTTCCGTGGGGAGAAATCCTCTTTGATCTTCTTCAAGTAGGAGGCCGGGGCCCAGCCCTCTTTCCCTAAATACCTGCAGCCCAAACATATAAAGACAGAACGTTTAATATGACATCGAGTTTATGTTTCCTTCATTATTATGATTGAACTCAGGATCAGGTAAAGCTGCTCTTTCCATACAGCACAGAACAGGAAGTAGACTGTGCCAGGAGTGACCTGCTGTCCCACAGCAAAATCTCAGGTTTCACTCTTATTAGTTTCCCCTCAACTCCCTTGTTCTTGTTCTCTTCCTGCTAAAAGGGAGTTCTTTCTTCCTGCTATTGCCAAGTTCTTGCTCACAGGTGGAGGGAGCGCTCTCTTTTTTTAATGTTGCAATTTTCCAACATAAAGCATTTTGAGTCAGGTTCCTGCATTCGGGAGTGAATTCCACAGCATGTCTTTATCCTGTCTTCTAGAGGGGAATCACCATACATCCCACGATACGATATTATTGCAATTTTTAAAAAATATTTTGCGATATTCAGATTCTGTACATAAAGGTAAACTTTATCAATATTCATTTTCTCTAATATCAAAGTCTCACACTCAGTCTTTCTCTC